GAAATTTAAAAGTATGTTGCTTTGTGACATGTTAGGGAAAATCAGTATCTCTGATGGTGTCAAGACTGGCAGTAATAGCAATGGCACCTTGTGAGGAGAAAAAAATTGCAGAAATAAGCCAGGTGCAGTGGCACATACCTGTAATCTCAGTGACTCAGAAGGCTGAGGCAGGAAGATCACAAGTTCAAAGCCAGCCTCGGCAACTTAGCCAGGCCTACGAACTTAGCCAGACCCTGTCTCAAAATAAAAAAAATAAAAATGCCTTGGAATGTGGCCCAGTGGTTAAGCACCACTGGGTTCAATCCCTGGTATGAAATAAGGAAGGGAAGGAGGGAGGAAGGAAGGAGGGAATCTTGAAGTCATAATAACAAACATGAACATTTAAGTCCCAGCTAATTCCATGAAAGTTGATGTCTAGAACCCTGTCCCCTAGTTAGGATCTCTGTTGATCAAAGAACAGAAAATGTCTCTTAAGAAGCTTCAGGGTTTAAATAGCAGGAGCTATAACAAGGTAAGTGACAGTCAGGACTTGGTTTCTGAAAGTGGAGAAGCAAAAATCAAATCCTCTCAATTAAATAAAAAGCTACCTTTCCAGTGCCATACTAAGTGAGGCTCAGCACTGGGTTTATGAAAAAAAAAAAACTGCCTCGGTAGGCTCTGTCTTTCCTGCAACAAAGCATATTTCATAATCTTATGAAAAGCCAAGATTGCTTTAAGCTGCTCTGGCCATCTCTCTTTAGCCATGTAGTTCTTAATACAGCTGAAAGATCTATTTGGTTATGCAAAAACTAATAGTCAAAATAATTTCTTTATTTGCTGGAGAAGGGATTAAACAAAGACTAGAATAATGCTTCCTAAATCAGATCCTGGAATACCTTGCTGCTTAAAGTGCTGTCTGTGGCCCAGCACAATACTCAAAACTTTATTTAGTATGCATAAAAAACATGAAGATTTACTGAAGAAAGTGCAAATTTTGAGTCAGCAGATGTGGTATGGAGCTTCAAATCCTACATTTCTAACACGTTCTTAGTCAACGCTGCCAGTGCACCCTAAAATATTGCTATTCATGTCATGTTCCAGCATAGATCTCACCTGGGACCTTCTAAGAAATGCAGAATCTGTGTCCCCTCTGTGGACCCACTAAATCAGCATCTGCATTTCAACAAGACTAGTGATGCATGTGCACTTGAAAAGTTGAGAAAAGCTTCTCTAGAATGCATGTGAACCAATTTTCCCAGGCTTGGATGCATTTCCCCTATTGCACAAGGTGGCTACTTTGGGTACTCAAGAATCCCAAAACACAAATTAGTATGCTTCAATGCACTCTAGAAGTGCTCTGCCAACATTCCCTCCAATTCCTTTGTCATTTTCACACACACACAACACCTCAGTGGGTTTTCATTCCCAGGAGCTCATACCTGTGTCTATTGGCTCCTCCCTTTGGATGCTAGAATTCACTTTGTTTGATTGGGAGGAGAAGAGAAAGAAAGTACCTAGAAATATATCATCACCTTCCAGCACTTTCTAACTAAAATGAACAGGCACAGGGATTTCTAATCTTCAGCTTCCTTCTCCCTGATCAGAAAACTTAACTTTGAGGTGTGGTCTACATGTGGAGAAATTAAGCCAAGATTTCCCTCCATGAGACTGCTTGGTGTTTTACCCTCTGCCTCCTGCACCCCCTGTCCTGCTCACTTCTCTGTGAATGCTGGCAGAAAACATAAACTCAGTCTGCATAAATCCTTATCTCAGGTTCTGTTTCTAGGGAACTCAAACTAAGACACATGCTATTTTAGCTAAGTGCCATTTAGCCTAAGATCAGCATCCAGCCAAGAGTTTGAGTTGTTTCTAAAGTTTTTTTGGCCGCTGTGATAATCTCTGAATCTGTGATTCAACCTGGGTCTTGTGTAACACTTACAGGAAGCCATTGGACTCTAGGATTTTCACATGTGGGAGGTCACAATCGGAGAATGCTATGAAAATAAATTATGCTTTACTCTGAATGAGCTAACTGTGGTGGTGCAACGAAGACAGTGAGATGCTCTTCTTAGCTGGCTTTATTGAGGACCCACAGAAAGATCTAAGGACCTAGAAGACCCAGCTCTTCTGATTAGTGTGGCATCCACAGCCACTGTGGCATTTTGAGTGTTGGAAATGGTGCCAGTACAAATAGAGATGGCATAGTTTGAAGCACAAAATTATTACAAAGGCTTTACATATGAAAAGAATGTATTTTGTTAAGCAGTTTTGTATTGATTACATGATTAATACAAGTTAAGAACCCTTTGTCCAAAATTTGTGGGACCAGAAGTGCTCCTCATTTTAGATTTCTACCAATTTTTGGATGGTTTCATATAGACAATGAGAAATCTTGGGGATGGGATCCATGTCTAAACACAAGTTTTATTTGTTTCTTATGCATTTCGTAGTCTGAGGGTCATTTTATTCAATATTTTTAGTGCATCTGCATCTTAAATGCAACTTGAAACATGAGGTCAGGTGATCTTTTCCAATTGTGGTGTCATGGAGTTGTTTAGAAAGTTTGGATTTTAGATTTTCACATCAGAGATGTACAACTTGTCTATCAGGGATTGAACCCAAGGATGCTTAACCACTGAGCCTCATCTCCAGCTCTTTTTTTTTTGAGACAGAGTTGCACTATGTTAAATATCTTAAATTATCTTTTTTCACAAGTTTATTTTCATTTTTAAAATACAAATGCTAGAAAATTCTCAATTACATATGTTGCTTGTATTGTGTTTCTATTTAACTGGATACATGGAAGGCTTTAGCTTTTAACCGAAAAGCTCAGACTAAGTGAAATATCCCTGGCTTTTTAAAATTCTTTCACTGTACCAATTTCTGTTGTGGAAGTATATCTCAGTAGACATACAAAACTGTACATTGTCTTCAATTATAAATACTTTTATCAATACATAATGTCACCATGGAGCTGGAAATATATGAAGTTTGAGTCTTAGCCCAAAAAATTTTACAACGGGAACATATTTTTAAAACTATAGCAATAGTTATTACTCATGTTTAAAATCATCTAATTTGAAGGAAATTGATTTTTAAGCTGTTAAAATATTATCCTGATCATTTTCTGTGTGTACATCAGGTTTTATGTTGATAATTTTATTTTCCTCTCTTTGCTATCTTGCATTGCCTTTTCTAAATCCTCTGGCAAAAATCTTTTGAGTTCAAGGCCTCAACATATCTTACCTGCACTACTGCAGCTTCTGGAGTTGTTCCTCTTTATTTCTTAGCCTTGAATTCATCTCAACATGGCTTGTCAGATAATCTATCTAAAGCACAGCCTAGTCCTGGCTCTCCTTACCTCCCATCCTGAAGAAAAAAGCAAACAAAGAAAGCAAAAAAAAAAAAAAAAAAAAAAACCAGACCATTGTTGGTATCACATTTTTTGCCCAACTATCTCTAAGCATCTGAACAGAGGCATTAAATGTTCTTCATAATCTGCACCTAACTCTACTTGTTGCAAATCCTTCTCTCTTTTCTTCTGTATTAGACTACTTCATTTCCAACTCTGTTTGCTCAATGCTGGTTCTTTTCCCAGTTTTCTCTGCTAAGAACTCTCTCTTCTCTTTTCCATCATTCTAGGTTTCTGTTCTTACAGTTCCATCAACAACATTACCATATTACATGAAAATATATTTCCAGTGCTTTAAGTCAAAAAGTCAAAAAACAAATGTCTATTTTTAAAAAGACACTACATGAAGACCAGCAAATCAGTAGTAGGAATAACACATGGTGACAAAGCTATTGAACTGAAAAACATTATTTCACAAGGAACACAAAGAAGGACTGCAAGATTGGAAGAGAGGAGTAAAAGAATTATAAAACAAAATGTTTGGCAAAATGCCAGAGCATAACCTCACTTACCAATAATCAAATGTAAGAGGATTGACTTTTATAATCAAAAGCTAAATATATTTATGAAACCAAGATCCAACAATATGCTGCCTCCAAGAGACACTTTTGAGTTTTAAGGACACACATAAACTAGGAATGAAGGTATTTCAAGCAAATACCAACCAAAAGAGAGCAAGAGTATCCATATATATAATTTTAAAAGAGACAAAGCATATCAATATTATATTATGATAAAGGGATCAGTTCAATAAGAAAATATAACAATTTTAAGTTGATACAGTTGCACCCCAAATTGGAGTACGTAAATATATAAAGCAAATATTAATAGACCTGAAAAGTGAGATAGATTGCAATGTAGTAATCTTATGGAACATCAGTTTATTATTTCATTGAGGAGAGATTTAAATCCACTATCATAATAGGAGGTGATTAGTTATCTCTCATGTCCTTTTCAGTTAGAGAAAAATAATAATTGGCCCAGGATATGTATTATATATTCTAAACTATCACAAAGAATGGAAAATCAGCATTGTTTTGGTAAACTTACTCTTTTCCATTTTCTTGGAAGACAAGTGAGATCACTAGTGAGTGGTGTGAGGTAGGGATTAAGATTAAAAGAGCAGTGAGAGATTAACATTTGGTACTATAACTATAACTAATTTAGAGAACTGTAGTCAAAATTTAAATATCCCTGGCACAGCTGATTAAGCACAGGTAGCCAAGTAGGAATATTATATTTGAAGTTTTGTTGAAAATATACTTTACATATTTTAAACTTTTCTATCACTCTTTATTTATAATTCATGGAAAATAGTAAAAAGCATTCAGTTATTGAAGGCAACACAGCAATTTTCTATCAATGGACATTTTAAGAAGCAGGGAAAAAAATCTTTGTTTATGTGTAAAGAACATTTTCTTAGGATAGTCACTCAGGGATTTGAATTTAATTACTTTTTTTTTTTTTACCAGAAGCAGAAAAGGTCAGGGGCGGGGGCATCCTTGGGCATACAAATTGAATTAATGTGTCTTCCTGGAAGCTGAGCTAAAGTCATGTCTTATAACTGTGCAGTATTTAAGCTAATGCAAGTATGATTTACATTTTTCAGGAATGGACAAATGAGGTTTTCAGTCTGGCAACAAACCTGTTGGCCCAAAACATGTCCAGGGACGCATTTCTGGAAAAAGCGTAAGTCACTCTAATTTTATTGCTAAGGGTGTTGCTCCTTCTGAGTCAGTTTCCTTTCTCCTTTGTGAGTCTTTTGTTTATGCTGCACTGGCTTCTCACATTGATAAACAAAAATTTCCCTTTGGGATTTGTTAGAGAACTGATACCTCCACTGTTCAGAATTGGAAGACTTCCAAGAAAGATCACTCTTTCCTCCAAGCTGCACATCCGCGTTACGCCTGGGCTGAGCTTGCCTGAATGTCAATGCCTTTGACACACAATAAGGAGATACTTCCAAATCCTGGCAGCTGTGCTCAGAACTAGAAGTTATTAATTTCAGAGAGCCTCTGCTCTGCATCTGCCTGTGACCTCGATTATTAATCCAAGGAAGAGAATGAACAGCATATGTTCCTAGTTTCTCTAGAGCCGTAGTCCTCTGATGGCTGCTACAGTAACCATCGTGCCTACTTAAATCAATAAATTGATGGCCCTTGTAGACAATCACAACAATTATTAGTGAGAAAAGAGGAAAAGAAAAGATGTAGAGGAAAGGGTAGAAGGAAAAAAGAGAAGGAGATAAAAATGAAGCAGATTAGCACATCAGTCTGGAATTGCAACAGCTTTTCTAAAAAATAAAAAAAAATTGTCTGACCAAGGAAAGTAATGACACATGCCAGATGAGCAGTGAGGATTCCTGGTTGTGTTCCTTTGTGGCCATTCAGGAGGTTGGGAAACCTCTAAATGCAAACCACAAATAGAACCATTAAGAGGTGGTCCTGGTTTTTACTGAATAGCTTTCTCTCTTCGCTCTTGTTATGCAAGACATACCCACTATTTCAGGCCTCCTACTCCAGCCACATTTTTGCTCTTCTGAGGATTCCTTTTACTTTTAGTCAGCACCCCACAGGTCTTGTATAAGTGGTTTTCCATGGGATCATCTCCCCTCCTGAATTTGTTCCCTTAAGCATCCTTTTTACATGGCTCCACCTCCTCCCTTCCTTTCTGCCCCTTTCTTTTGCTCCGGTCTTTGTCCCATCTTTTCATCCAACAAACATTGTAGAACATCTATTCTTCCAGGAAGTGTTAGTAGAAGTGTTAGTATGAATTAAGTATGAATTAAGATGTTCTACCTGAAACAGCATTTTTTAGCTGTTATCTGTTACAAATATCTTTTCTACTTAAGTGTTTCCTTATGTGGCTGCTTTGAACATTCTAGAATATGTCTCTTAATGAACATATTAACATTTCTGTTGCGTATATACCTAGTGTAGGTGAGTACAGTTTCCTAAAGTAGCATTTCCCTTTTACACGTCCATAGCAGTGGTTGAGAGTTCTGTTGCTCTCTCTCTCTACCTATGTGTCCCTAGCAGTTGAAGAGATAAACACAGTCATTATATTCATATAGGGGATTCAGTACAAAAATGAGAATGAATAATCTACAACTATAAGCAAAAGTTGGTTGGATCTCAAAAATACAACACTGAGTGAAAGAAGCCAGGCACAAAAAAATACGATTCCCTTTTTGTAAGGTACAAAACAGATAGCAATGATCTATGTTGTTTAACAGCAGGATCACAATTCATTTTTGAATAGTTCCTTTTGGAAGGAGGTGTGAAAGGGGCTTTTAGGACCCACTAAAGTAACAGTATTCTACTTCTCAACCTGGGTGTTAATTTGGAGACTTAAGCATTTTGTGAAATTCAACAAACTGCACATTGGCACAGGTTCTTCTCTTTGGGTTTTATCCTTCAATAATATTTTCATTTAAAAAATTGAAAACTTATTTTTCTGCTTTGTCAACAGCTATACTAAACTCAAGCTACAAGTCACTCCAGAAGGGCGCATTCCTCTTAAAAAGTAAGTCTCCTGAGTGTTTCCCATTGTTCGTTTTCTTTTTCTCAAAGATTTGAATCTGTGCCATGGCTCTGCTTTGTTTCTTCATCAGCCTAAGTGGGAGCTTGGCAGTGCGTGATAACTGTCCTCTTGCGTGTGTGCCTCATATCAGAGCAGCTGATTTCTCCATAGCATTTCCCTGGGGTACCCTTTTCCTCTGACGTCCCTTTTTTGAAAAACACCAAAGTGGGATGGGGAGGGAGTGAGAAGGAAGGGGACCTCATTGCTAAACCCAAAGAAACATCTGATACTCAGATCTATTCTGGGAGCACAAATTGGGTGACCTCGGTACCTCTCTCTACCAAGGTAGCTCTACCTTAAAGCAGGACTTGCAAACTCTGGAGATGGGCAAGGAGCTTAAATAAAAAAGCAGGGCAGGAAGAAGTAGAAAACTATCTGCAAATCAGTCTAGGGTACTGAGAATTTACCTGTGCCATGTACCTTGTGGGTACATGGGTAACCTCCAGGTAGAGGATTTTCTAATGCTTCAATAGAAACCATAATCCAAATTATTATAGTAAATTGTTCAGCATTTACTTTCTGGTTTTTTAAAAATGAAATTAGTGACCTAAGAAAGTACATATTTAGATCATATTAGTCAAAAGTCTTCCACTTGACTTATAAGCTATCAGTGAGATTCTGTTCATGAAAAAATTTGAAGTCTTAATAAAAAAATATACACACTTAGGGCTGTGGGTAGCAATGAGGTGACAAGTTTGCTAAGTTTATTTTAATATATATTTAATATAAGATGTTATTTGATGCACTAGTTTCTTAATTGGATCATCAGCATTACCTCAGAACATTAACATTGTGTTAGACACTACGATTTTTTAAAAGCACACACAAAGATCTTTCTGAACACAGATGCAGATGTATGGAAGAATAGCTATCCTTTGATTCCTTAAAGGTGAATAATGAATAGGTTTGATTCAATGGGATATATTGAATGGGCACCATCTGTAGGTGCTATGATCCCAGTGACTTTTAAACATCTCTCATTCATGTGTTTTCACTCCACAGCATATATCGCTTGTTTTCAGCAGACCGGAAACGAGTTGAAACTGCATTAGAGGCTTGTAGTCTTCCATCTTCAAGGGTGAGTGTGTTGCCTATGGTGACAGCACAGAAAAATAGTTCTTAATGATTTATACTCAATACACATTGTCCCAACACTACCTGGACATATTTTTATAAAGTCTAAAACCCATAACTTATTTATATTTGCAGTGTATGAGACCACTATTATATTCTTTCATTCCCATAACCCCAATATTTCAATCTAGAATGACTCTTGTGGGGCTGGGGACATAGTTCAGTGGTGGAGTGCTTGTCCTGGGGTCCTGGGTTCAATTTCCAGTGGTGAATAATGAGGAAGAAGAGGTGGGGAGGAAAAGGAAGAAAGAAAAATGAAAACCTTAGAGAGATACTTGCATTTTGTAGATAAAAAAAAAATCAGTAATGTATTCTGGGTGTAGAGGCACATTCCTATTTATCCCAGTAACTAGAAAGGCCTAGGCAGGAGGATTCCAAGTTCAAGTCCATCCTGGACAATTTAGCAAGACTTTTTCCCAAAATAGAAAAAAATAAAAAGGGCTAGAGATACAGCTCGGTGGTAGAGTGTTGCTGGGTTTAATCCTCAATACCATACACTCATACATATTCATGTGTGTCTGTCTGGGTCTGTGTTTGTATATGTGTAATCATCTAATCATGTAATACAGAAAATAAATAAATAACAAAAAGAAAGGGTCAACATTGTCAAGAAGACAATTTATAATGTCTATCTTTTTAAAAAAAAAACCCTATCTTTAAAATAAACCATTCCTTAATGTCTCTTGAGCTAGTAGCTAATGATAGTGTGAGGTATTGTGTTTAGGAATACATTTGAAATACTAATTTCACCTTATCCTTCTTAAATTCCTTATTTTAAGATTTATAAGTTGGAGATACATTTAGCATGGTTGTACATGTTTATGAATAAATGTATATACTCTGCAAGGCCATGTCCAAAACCTTTTTACTGAGAGTGACACAGATCAAAAGTTTGCAGATAACTCACTTTGCTCTTGGTTGGTAAAGTAGGTGAGAGGACAAAGGATGTAATTTGCTTTTATTAAATGCTTGATACATACACACCACTCTGTATACATTAACCGCCTAGAATAATATCATATGCTTTCATTTTAATTAATTTCTACATAAGTGAATCTCAAATAAGTTGTTAGCATTGTTTCTAGGTGAACAGTCTATTGCAAAAACTCTTTCTCGTGTTATATTCAGTTCTTTCCCTTCTATTCTAAATTATTTTTATCCTAGTATCTAAGCAACAAAAAGCACTTATTTAAGGACAACACTGACTTCATAGAAACTCCAAGCCTCTTGAAACACTAACAAGCACTGAATGAAATCTTAAAGCCACTCTTAAACTTATGATTGAATTATGAAAAAGCATTATTTATTGAGTTCTCTTTATTAAATTAATTGGCCAATTTTTATTGTGAATATTTTTTCAAAGTGAAGTTTATTAACAACTTTGGTAGGTTACAGGAAACACTGTCCACCACCACTTCTCCTCTACAGGTAGAAAAGGCTAACATTGCTGCGTGAACAGGGCAGAGTTGTGCAAAGGCTCCACAAAACATAGTTACTTTTGCTTTGATAAGCAAAGTAAAGTATTGAATTTGCTTACCATTGCTCTTATGATACATGCTTTAGGGTAGGAAAGATGAAGCAATGAAGCTCCTCTCATTGACCCAACAAATATTTCTAGAGACCTTACTATGTATCCACAGGCACTGAGAATGTGGTAGTGAACAGAAATGAAGTTTAAGGTTTCAAGGACTATAAAATCATCTGGGGAACTAGTTAAGAAATACATCAACAGGGTCTGGGGATATAGCTCAGTTGGTAGAATGCTTGCCTCACATGCACAAGGCCCTGGGTTCGAACCAGCACTAGGAAAAAAAAAAAGAAATACATCAACAAATTCATGTGTAAATTGAGAAAAGTGTTATGAAAGAAAGAAAGGAAGGAAGAGAAAAAAAGAAGTGGTGCTATGGAGAATAAGGGAAGCTTACTTTAGAAAAAGAAAGCAGTGTATGCTGAAGCTGGGAAGAAATTTCTGGATTTGAGAAACAGAGAAAAGACCACTTGTTCAGAAAAGTAAAAGAGAGAGAGAAAGTATGAAAGATGGCTTTATAAAGACATGCAAAGAATGGTTAGCTTTAGCAATCCCTTCTGGTTTTACCTTTCTTGAATAATGCCTTGTGAAATACAAGAATCAAAAATTTTAACTTGGTATTATACATCTAGCTAAGGAAAGAAGGAATAGAAAAGCTGAACAGAAAAATCAAACCCATCAATCAATTCTCAGTAAATTGCAATTTTCTAAACAATTGGATTCTGACATTTCAGTCAATAAACATAAATTGAGTCTTTGCAATCCACTATGTCTATTATAGGTTCAGACTTTCCAACCAATATCAACCAGAGACATTTGAGGAGGTAAATGAGATTCAAATAGCAGGAGTTACGTTTAAATTGGAAAAAATTTATCTTTAGCAAATTAAATGTAATGCCAATTCTCTGAAAACAAACTGAAGTTATTTGAAAAATATAATCAACCTCCATAGTAGTTTTGAAAGATTATTTTTCATAGTTAAGTATAATTTACCTGGAGAACTTGTAGAATCAGAATGCCTTTTAAAAAATCTAAACCGAAGATGGTTTCAAAGCCAGGAAATTAATGTTTCTGTGAACTGTCTATTGCACATCAAAGCTATATATTTAAATCATTGCAGTAATTTCATATCTACGTGACTTTTAAGTGGGAAATATCCACTAATTAGCAAAAAGATTCTGGATACATTAACAAGGGATATTTTAAACATTGCACACTATAAAAGGATTATATAAAAGGGTTAGCTAGTTTGGCATAAATGGGAAACAATTTCATAGCCAGACATCATTCAAACTAGATTTAATTGTGTTCTGTAAATAGACACATTACCCAGAAACACAGTGGATATCCTGTCGAGATTTTTTAAACATTATCTTTGTACACATTGTTAGGGATAATTAATGCACTTGAACTTGTATCCTGGCTGACATGATCCATTGGAATAACACATTCCTTTAGTGGGTAGTCCTTTGGAGATTATAGTTGTTAGCCTCACGTCACCCTAATTGTTAAAAAGTAGTACTGTGCCGAAAAAGAGAGACAAAGCAATAGCTGTCCTTCTATTAATAATCTAAACTTATTTTCCAGTGAGACCTCTGAAAACCTTCCCATTTTCAGAAAATGACCATTCTACCCACAAGCTGAGAACTGAAAATAATTTATTTGTACCAAATTCCCTTGGTTTTAGGCTTATTAACTTGAAAAGAGCTCAGTGACATTTGGAATTGTATTGTAGTCTTGCCATAACATGGGCCTATGGGGGTGCATTTTAATGAAGAACATAATGAAAAAGCCTGTGTATTTATTTTAAGTTGCAAAGTTTGCCGGGTATAGTGGTACATGCCTGTAATCCCAGCTCCTCAGGAGTCTTGGATAGAATAATAAGTTCAAGGCCAGTCTGGGCAACTTAGTGAGACCTCATCTCAAAATAAAATTTTAAAAGGTATTGGGGATATAGCTCATTGGTAGAACATCCCTAAGTTCAATTCTAAGTCCTGGGTGTGGGAAAAAAAAAAGTTTATTGTAGTTGATGGACACACAAATATATTACAAAGGGAAATTCCTTGGGATTTCAAGACTATGATATGTTTTACTGAGTAATACTATAAATAAAGCTTATAAAATAATTTCTCTGTATAACTGTAGTTCATTGCATTTCTTCCTAAATCAGAAATTTAGTTACTTTTGAGTTGTGATACTGAAAATCACTGATATCAAAATTCCATTTTAAAATCACATTACGTACCCAGTACATAATAAATTAAGAGTAATTTATTTGTAATTATTCTATGGACTCTGGCTAATTCAACTTTTTGATTTATAGCTTTAAATCAAAAATATTAAAAATATGTAGAATTTGGAATTTACTGGGAAGGAATCCACTGGACTTTCAAGAAAATAGTCTACATGTGGACACTATTTATTTGATTCTGCTTCAATAAATTAATACTTTTTAATCATCAAGTTGAGCAAAACAAAAGTGAGATAAAGAAAATCAGCTACATTGAGAATTTTATCTTTTTTCATGTGCTAAAATTCAACAGTGAAAATAATATTACATTTATTCATATGATCTCATTAATTTGTCCATTTAATAGAAAATCCTAATTCTCAGCTGGTAAATAAACAATGGTTAGATTTTAGGAAAGTATATTGTTCTATGAAATTTTGTGTCTGGACTCTTATGAAAATGATTTTCATTAAATCTGATGCTCAACAAGAAGTACCATATGCAAGCTCTCACTGCCAACACTCACCATTCTCATAAATTATGTCCATTTATTTAGTAGGTGTTTAATGTGTACCTACTGTGTGTTGCACACCAGAATTAGAGCAACTGATAGACATCCACAGGTCCTAACTTGTGCACTTCAGCAGGTTAGCAGGGAAAACAGAATGATATAGCCCAGAGCACTAAGTGTTGAAAAATAAGAGAAGCAAGTTATGATGGGAAAAGAAAAACCAGACCAAGTCAGTCAAGGAGGAGACAAGGCCTTCTAGAGAAAGAGCCTTCCAACTGAGCCTTCCAACTAAGCCAAGAAGGAAGAAAAAATAATAATAAGAAGAATACAATTATTGATATTCTTAGATAAAATGAATTTATATCTGTGCTGGATGAGTTTACACTGAGGTAGAGTGGACTCTATTTAGAAGGGAACATGCAGAAATGCACTTGGGGTTTATAAAATGCAATCAAGTTAGATGCCCTTGAGTTGGATGGCAGCACCATTGGGTGTTTTTTGTTTTTGTTTTTTCAATTTATTTTATATCTTTCTTTTCCCTTTGTCTAACAACCCAAGAGTAGGGTAGACATGTCCAGACTATTCTGTAAAAAGATATATGTGTGGCATCCTCTAGTCAATGGGATTTTTTTTTTTAATAAATCAGACGAAATTTTGGGAACCTGCTTCCAGGTAGTCCTTGTTCCATTTTATGAATGGCAAAATACCAATCAAGCAATCCATGAGAATTTATTTCCTATTGTTCTAGGACTTGTGTTCATGATTTCAAAGTTTGTGTACAAGTAGCCTAAGCCTGCTGGTATAAAGCATCTGTCTATGCTTTATCCCTCTATGTGAAATGATTGATGTGTTGCTTGGTTTTCTCAACATTCTATTTTGCAACATAAATGCATTTTCCTCTATAAATGGAAAAAAATATGGGGTTACTGTTCATTCCATAAATATGGGGCTACTCTTATACCCAGTGGTAAGCTAAGTTTTCTTACATTAGCAAGCAGTGTACAATTTCAGACCATAATTCAGACAGGATTTTTAAAAAAAAAATTCTATTAAAGTAAATTTCAAAACATGAACATGATTAAGAGGAAGGGTGTTTTCTTTGGTTTAAGAGCCTGAAAATAAAAATAATCATGTAAACATATACCTGAAATAGGGAAACTGCATGAAAAATGTCCTTCCTGTTAACAAAGACTTGAATACATGCTTCCGGTTTCCATGGCAGCCCAAATAAACAGAAAACAGAAGCCACAGAGGTAGCCTTTTATATCAGTGACTGGCTTCCAGGACAATAAGACAGGGGCAATCAGTGAAAAATAATGGCTGGTGCTGCCCTACTTAGGAAAACTGTTTTACAACTTATCACATTATTTAAACCAGAGGGAATGTTGTTTAAAAAAAAAAAAAGACACACAAATTTATGTTTTCATTTGACAATGTCTTTATCTAGTAGTAACATCACTTTGAAAAAATATTCATTCAAAAACCTGATAAACATCATAACAGTGTGCATATACCTCATGCTGCTGTTCCGCACATTTAAAAAAAATGATTAACATGATAAAATTTGTTATGTATATTTTAACAAAATTTAAAGAAACATATTCAAACCAAAAGAAAGAGGAGGAGGAAAAGGAGGAAAAAAGGGGAAAGGGGAAGAAAAAAAAGAAGAGGAAGGAGAAAAGGAAGAGTAAGAGGAAAGAGAAAAGGAAGGTGAAGGAGATGAAGAAGAAAACTAAAAAAAAAAAAAGTGCTGCTAAACAGAATCTGTCCTTCCTATGTCTAACTTATCTTAGTAAATGTACTTAGGGAATTGTCTCAACATCCCTTTAGCAGAAGAAAAATCTTAAACTCTAAAAAAATCCAGAAAATTAGGATTTTGACACCCCAAATCAGAGTCCAAGTGAGCTCTACATTTGGCCTCCTGGATGTGCTCTGGATATTTATTTACCAGACCTCCTAGAAGAAAGGAAAAGAGAAGGAAGGAGACAGGGAGACAGGAAAGGAGGACAAGAGGTTGGGGAGAGACAGAAGAAACAGGAGAGAGGACCATATGCTGACTCTGTCCTTCTATTTCTCAGAATGATTCCATACCTCAAGAAGACTTCACTCCAGACGTGTACAGAGTTTTCCTGAATAATCTTTGCCCTCGACCTGAAATCGATAACATCTTTTCAGAATTGTAAGAGGACACATTTTAATCTGCATTTTCTTCCAGCTTGCATTGATACTCAGGGTGTCTAGATGGGATTTTGAGCAGCACTAGAAGGAGATGGAAGAGAACCTTACACCATGTCTATGCTCCTGAGTGATCTGTTGGGCATGATCACATGTTCTTGGTCCTGAGGTGGAGCCACTGCTTTTAATGATTGATTTATGATTTATGATTCCTGTTAGTTTAGCATCTCACGTGGTTCTGTGGGGTTTAAAGATAGAACAGGGAGGTATCTTGGCTAAGTTGGAGATAAACTTGTGTACCAGAAAGATCTGTGACTGAGAACCATTTATTTGATCTGAACCATATTAGTGAAAGAAGAAGTTTGAGTTAACCAGGCTGGAGCTGTAGCTCAGTGGCATAGCACTTGCCTAGCATGTGTGAGGCACTGGGTTCGATCTTGAGTACCATATAAGAAAACTAAACTAAATAAAGGCATGTTGTCCACTTACAACTATACAATTAAAAAAAAAGAAGTTTGAATTACCAAGAACCCTCCCAACTGGAATATTATTTGCTTTTATGTTATAAATTACAAATATATGCCTTTCTTTTTTAAAGAAACTGAAAAAAAATCAAGAAAAAAAATAAACCAAAACATCAAGGCATGTGTGGGAAATTTGCAATTTACCCTCCTTGACACACTAAAATCTACATAATGACAAAAAAAAAATCAATCCAAATTGGTGAAAAAAGTAAGGAGAAAGATAGGCATTTGGTTCTGCTGAAAATGACATTGTATGTTGGATGTCTTTGTTTTTTGATGTGATGTTCATTGCCATTAAATATTTATTGAACTTGTCATTGAGTTGTTTATTAAATTGTAATAGGCAATTCAAATCACATTATTTAGAAAAGTTATAGACACTTATGAAACCTTAACTTAATGAAATAAAAAACATATCTAAGTAGGTTGTTTATTTTAACGAATGAGGTACAAATATAACTTTAAATGATTAAATGGGATTTGAGAGTTTGATGACTAAATCATAGTTTTAGTGTCATAAATTTAAAAATCCATACTTCTGTGTAATTTAAAGTGCCTTTGTACACATAATATGCAGAGTTTTCCTAATGTGGATTTTTTTAGGGGTTTGATAGTTTTCAGTTGTATTGGGATTTAGTGGTGTTGATTATGAAAGACAATTTATAGCCCATAGGGATACAGAAATTATGGTGGAGTCACAGTATGTTTTGGGGGGCAAGCTAAGAATTTACATAGCTTTTCAAGTATGGAACGGTTTTGCTTCTCTGTAGATAAGTTCATAAATAAGAATTAAAGGGGAAAATATTAAAACTGTTGGTTTTAATTGTTTTTAGTGGTGCCAAAAGCAAACCATACCTTACTGTTGATCAGATGATGGATTTTATCAACCTGAAGCAGCGAGATCCCCGGCTAAATGAAATACTTTACCCACCTCTGAAACAAGAACAAGTCCAAGTACTGATTGAGAAGTATGAGCCCAATAACAGCCTCGCCAAGAAAGGTCAGTACACTTTGTTCCACACCACAGGGAAGCTCTTATTCCCCATTGTGAATGGGTGGCACTCTGGTAGTTAGGGACATCAAAGACTTCAGAGACTGTTTAGGTCAATTGCCCTATTTGTAAACCTCCTTGTCTTTCTGTCTGAAATCACTAGTTGTTTAAGCCAAAATAGATTTTTATTTTTTAACTTTGGTGTGTGATTTATTTTAGGTTTATGTATGCATGTAATATATATTTTTATAATATCTCATTATTTGTTTTGCTTCAGATTTATCCAGTGAGTGAGTGCATTTTTCTCATAAAGGAAATTCACTAACTTAACCTTGCCCTTTCTGTTCTCTTTCTAGTAAGTTCTGTGAAGTAGCCTAAATCTCCAAAACCAAAAAGAATATTCAATCTACTAAACTCTTTTATTGCAATTTACATGATCTGACAAATTTTTCCACCCACTTTGGAAAATATTCTGAAATCTGATCTTTTATATTTAAAAAATTAGTGTTAGGAGAAAAACTAATCATTAGTCCAAAAAATTGATATAAAATAGGCAGCTCTAAGTTGCATAGAATTCATTTAGAAATTTACATTTTTAATTCAGGAGAAGTCAGTTGCCAAAATACGATCAGAAAGAATTAATTGCTGGAAGTTTTGAATTATATGTGGAACATTTTCCCCAAACAAGATCTTTGGTTGTTTCTCCACCATGAAGATTAAATTTCATCTGCCTTGAAGTTGCTTCACTTAGAAAATCAATACGTTATAACCTGTTATTGCAAATTGCCTATTCCATAAGCAGGGACAGAAAAGTTCCAGTTATTGAAAAGGAATAAATTACATGCTAATATGTGGGCAATTTATAAAATAACAGAAATAGCTCTACCACGCTTAAAAGTCACAAATAAGAATGGTCGTCATAAGAAGAGATTAAAAAGTTTTTTTGGCTCGTCCTACTTATTCTGCAACTGGTCCTCTGAATATAAAATAAATGTATTTAGTATAAAATAAAATATTCTCTCTGCGTGTTGTTAAAAGGGAATTTCTAGATAACATTTTTTTTTTCATTTTTATTTGTGTTTATGGTTGAGTGCTTTTCTCTATTGTCTTTGTGTTTCTCATGGCCATGGAGGTGAGGTCAGTCAAAGGAAGCAACTGACCCAACAGTGTGCTTTGGCAGGGCCAGGCCTGCCCCTCCACACCTGCCTCTTTCCCTAGTACCATTTCTATTTCTCCTCCTCATTGCACAGGGAGCAACTTGCTGCATAAGCTTTTGCCTGTATAGCTTGGCATTACCCTTATGACGTCTGAGCTTCTCCAAAAATGACCAACACGATGTTATAACAAATCCAGCATGACTTCTTAAAGTGATCAGCCCATGACACTGGGAAAACAGAAAGTGTTTTTTAAATCAATGAGGCCTCCTAGGCATCAACTGTACCCTTTTGCCTCTTTTCACACCACACTGCTGATGGTCCATGCCCCAGCTGCTATGTGACACCTCCATATGTCATTTTCTGATGACTTAGACGAACTAGAAGGTACAAAGGGAAAACCTATGACTGGTTATTGTAGAACTCCATGATCCAAGAAGAATCAATCTTGACTCTAATGGAAATTAAGACTTTCCCAGCATTAGTATGATTATTTAATGCCTTTTTATAAGTGCATGAGGTATGGATTTCATAATCAGAACAGGTGCATAAAATTCAGGTATATTTTTAAAACAAATATATTTCTCTTCCTATGACTTAATATGACACTGATATGAATGCTGTGTAACACCCTTAATCACAATATAGAGAAGCAACAAAGAACTGTGGTGTCGCTCACAGTTTCAAAGTTGAGATCCACTGGTCTCCTGGTCTTGGTATTTAATTTCTCTGTGTCTTAATTACTTCGTCTTCAGAACTGAAAGGATAAGAGTTCTCCCTTGGCTTGTGATTTTGCATTAAATAATGTCTGCATGGTATTTAGAAAGAAGAGTATGTGGCCCACATGTGGGATGAATAAGTGTTAACTCTTTCCTTGAGGTGTTGAGATGGAGTGTGTTGGTTTATATTCCTCACATATTTTCATCCCCACCACCTAGAAGATCAACCTGCTCATGATGCATTACTTACTGTAGACTTGTCGGTGTGATCTAGTAATTGACATATAAAGTATTTGTGCCCCAGTTTATGACTTGAGATTATCCCCTGGAGTTCCCTAAACAGAGGAATTTTCTTTATGCCATCTCTACTGAAAGTCTTCTCTAGCACATGGGAAGGACAGGGACTTTGGAGTTCATCCCTGGGATTTGGCTAGAGTGCCAACCACCCCAGAGACCTACAGAGACAATTCAGAAGATCTGTTATCTTTTCTCCTCCACAGTCCATGTGAAAGAAATCCACCTCTCCAGGTATCAACTAGTCAATTTACAAAAGACCTTAGTAAGGTTACTTCAGCTCTAAGACGTGTAATTGTGATAACTGCCTTATTTAAGGATAAAGTGAGAAGATGTATGCTGATGTTTAGTTCAGCATCCAATAATCATTCCTTAAGTGGCATAAATTATGATTATCATTATTGAACGCAGGGCACATTAATACAGGAGGAAGCACATGATCTCTGGTATTCTGGTCCTGAAAACTCAAAACTTACAAGCAAATCTCTATTCATTCATCATTCATAAATTTGGCATTCAGGAAATCATTAGTGACAGGTAAGAGGCAATGGACTGAGAGAGAAGCAAAGAGAAAGCTGGTGCTGTAGGCTTGCACTCTTTTAAAAACAATAAGATATGAATGTAAATCACTATCACCTTTCAAGTTCTAATGTGCACATGAATCCCCTGCGACCTTGTTAAAATGAAGATTCAAGATTCTGTGTTTCTGACAAGTTATTAGGTGATGCTGAGGCTGTGGGGCTAGAGATCACTTTGTGACATGCCTATGAGAAGAAGTGAAGCAAAAGGGAGGGTGGAGCGACATCTTCCTGGAGGAGATGGTCATGGAAGAGACAACATTCAGGCTGGACTCATTTCAACAGGCTTGAACTATAAATTCCCGAGGAATAGAGGATATAGCATTCTATTATTCATTCAACAAATATTTCTGGAACACTTATACATTAAGCATCAACAAAATTTGAAACAGAAGCTTCAAGATTTATAAGCTGTCTGAAGAGATCTGAGGACAGGCAACTCTAGATGAATACTGAGCCAAGGGAGTTGTTTTTCTAAGTTTTCCATTAGCAACCTAGAAAAAAAATTATTTTCAATCCCACCATTTCTTTCTTAACCCAAAACCTTAAGTAACAAAATTATGTTGAATATGAGCTATTTCATACCACGTGGTTTTATTTGCCACTTTGGCTGGTTTTATATAAACAAAGAAGACTAGAGAAGATTGTGTCATTGTGTTAACTATTATTTCATAGTCAAAAGATAACAATTTTTAAATTTATTTAGGGAATTAGGAAATCACTGGATTAGATTGCAATTCTTGAATAAGTAGAGTTTGAAGTATGAAGATGAAAATCAATTTCTGATTTGATTTTTCCACTTATAACATTTGATGTTTGACTTTAAGATCTTTTCAGAACCTCCTTTTTATGTCTCCTTTATAAGTAGGCTTCAACAAAGTACAAGTTAATAAACTTTTGTTTGACTTTAATAGAGTGGTATGGATCTTCAAGGAAATAGCTTTCATTTATTTTGAGACTTTTAAAAGCACATTAACAGAGGCTGGGTTGTGGCTCAGTGGTAGAGCACTCACCTTGCACATGTGAGGTTCTGGGTTCAATCCTCAACACCACATAAAAATAAATAAATAAAATAAAGGTATTGTATCCAGCTACAACTAAAAAAAAAGTTAAAAAAAAAAAGCACATTAACATTTTGCACACAGGCACACCAAGTCTTTGAAGTCAGGTGACTTATATAAGATCTAATACTAACATGTTCTTGAAGAAACCAAGTTTTAAATTTCCAGTTAAGTGCTGAGTACCTTTTGATCAATAAACATATAAGGGAATAAGCAGAGAAGTTTAATATTTTATTATAATGTTTTTCTTCTGCTTTCATTTTAACTAATACCTCAAATGTGTCCAAACATTAAATCAGTGGTGATCTTAGTGCTGATCCACAAACTTAGTCTTATTTTTCTGAGAAAGACACTTCATACTGACTATCTGTTAGAAAATGTGAGGTATAAAACACATCCATAAAATATGTAGTATATCATAAGTAGATGTATGAATACACACATGCATATATATATACTCTCTATATATATTTTAAAGCAAATTTTAAATACACAAAGTTGATATATGTGTTTAGTTTTAATATTCATTTTCTATCATTTTCGAATGAGAGCCTAAAATTTAAAAAAGTTTAATTTGACCTACAGCCTAAATGTCAGATCTGACTACAGGCTAACAGGCCAAATGTGCAGCACACCAAAGTGTGAATTGAAAATCCAGAAGAGACGATGGGCCTGCTCTAGTTAGCATATTGGCCACATTTCTATGATAGAATTTCTGTTTTGGGAGATGTGTACATTGATTGTAAATAATTCAAGTGCTTCTGTGCATTCTGAGCCAAATAGTCACATATTTGGTTTGCACAAAGAAAGGGTTTGAATCTTGTCTCAGAAGACACTGTTCTCAAGAGTGTCTGTTTTATTGCTTTATTTTTACAACATAAAATCACACAATGAGAAATGCTGGGCCCCCCAAGTTAGCAAATGTTTCTTCCCTGCCAAATCGTTTTTACTGTTGACCTGAATCTGCTTGACACAGAAACACATAACAATCTCTGCTTATCCCAAACCAAAAGGTCATGAATTCCATTGTGTGAAGACTAATATCTCCTGAGCACAGTAAATTTCTTTAATCACTTAAATTCTTCAGAAAAATAAGAGTGAATAAAATTAGCATGAAAAATAAAATAGTCAAATTGATGATATTTTGGTAACTATACAAACTTCAAGATTCAATTGATGTATCCATAAATGAAAATTAAGTTT